CGGCGTATAAGGCGACCCAGCGTATAAGACAACCCCTGTCTTCGGCGTTGAGTAACATGCCTAGAAAGTCGTCTTATATGCCAGAAACTACCGTAATTTCCAGCGTATAAGACGACTCGGCGTATAAGACGATCCCCGACTTCGGTGCCAATTTTAGTCGTCTTATACACCGGAAAGTACGGTATATAAATCTAAGTGCTATTGTGATTGTGATTGCTATTAAAAACCCAACAATCTGCAAGCAGGATCATGAGCACAGGGAGGAACTTTTTCTTTCTTCTTTTCCAGTAAGGCTTACTAGGATTGCTGAAAAGAATAACAGAATAACAGAATTGGAAAAAAAAAAAAAAGGCAGGCAAAATCAATATTAGCGGGCAATGAAGATGGTTTTATATTATGTGTAAACAAATATGAATGGTTGATGTATATAAGCAAAAGTGTATGCATGTGATCCTCAACTTCCAAATTAACACTCAGTGCAGTACTCGAGGTTCGTGAACTTGTGCTTGAAATTGGCACATATTGTGTAGGCTAATATCAAGCTTAGAGAAACTAATTAATATTATATTTGAAGGAGCTGATTTCAGTCATGACCAGAATGGGTAAACCAGTTTGACCTTCCTGTTATTAATTCAAGAAAAAGAAAAGTCTCTATTGGTGCCCGAGGACATTGTCTCCCTAGGCGACTCATTACTATTTCTAGAGCAATTCCTATTACTTTTTGTACATTGGCATGAAATAATTAGATCTTAATATGCTCCATCACGAACACCTGCAGATTGCTTTAAAATTCAACAACCCAACTATAGTTTAAACGAATCATAGCATCCCTCAATGTGGGCCTCAAAGGAACTACAGATAGTCCTCAACTTACAACTTTTCATTTAGTGACTGTTCAAAGTTACAATGGCACTGAAAAAAGTAACTTATGCCCATTTTTCACACTTACGATTGTTTCAGCATCCCCATAGTCACATGATCAAAATTCTGATGTTTGGCAACTGGCATGTATAATTTATAACCGTTGCAGTGTCCCAAGATCACATGATCACCTTTTGTGACCTTCTGACAAGCAAAGTCAACAGGGAAGCCAGATTCACTTAACAACCAAGTCACTAACTTAATAACTCCAGGGTCACACTTAACCAATGCGACAAGAAAGGTGATAAAATGGGGCAAAACTCACTTAACAACTGTCTCATTTAGCAACACAAATCTTTGGGCTTATTTGTGGTTGTAAGCAGTGGTGGGATTCAGCCAGTTTGCACCACTTCAGCAGAACCGGTAGCTAATTTTTTGTTGCCCAGGCCCAGAATGGACTTCCAGAAGCAGCATCCACACAGAGAACCGGTTGCTCACATATTTGAATCCCACCACTGGTTGTAAGATGAGGACTACCTGTTATAGACTTTGATTCTGAAGAGGTGTTATATCTCCTTGGTTTTAATTCAGAAATTCTATAGAAAGCAAAATGAAAATGATAGGGCTACTTTCATAAGTTACTGGCAGGCACTGTGTCCATTCCACTCCTGCATACTATTATAGACTAACAAAGGCTGCCCTCCTGCAATGCATTGCATAGCACGAGTGCTATATTCAAAATTGGAAGTGAAGGCTTTCAATATCCTGCAAGATAGTAGGAAAGGAAAAAGGCATGCATCTGAGGCTGGTGCATTTTTGCAATTAAAAAAAGCATGTCTGAACAGGATTCTGTTTTGGCTTTTGGCATCTTGCAGAACTTCTATAATCTTGATTTTGTACTCCATATCTCAGATCTCTGCAAGCGAAGGCTGTAAGTTCAGTGGCTCAGCTGAACAAACTGCTAAACGCAACAGAGGCTAAGGTTGTTGGCATAATTACATCCTTAGCAAAATCTATGCTGCTCAAAGAAATATTATGGCAAATTTTTAATGAACATTACATGTGCATGAATAGCATGCACAAACAGACGTGTTCCTTTCCTACCTACTTAGCCCACTGTTTTATATTCCTTTCATGTAGGAGATGTCTGAAATGAAAAATGAAAACGAATAATATTTAATGATTTTGTTCAAACAGATAAACTGCATAATTTTCTTTTTCAAAATCTCATCTTCAAACATCACTTAGGGAATGAGTTGCTGCTTGTCTTTCAAAAATAGAATCATAGTATGAATCATCTATTCATGATTTGACTATCTTTGCAGCCAGACATCTCCATGATGTTTTTTTTTCTGACTCAATCAGATAATCTGAATACTATCCAAATATCCAGACCATAGATTTAGTCCTATGGGTCTCTTTGAAGAGACTGTGCCGAACATCCTTAAATAGGTTGACCCATGGTCCAGTCAAATAGCTCAAAACTGCTGAGCAAAAATCTCATTCCCTGTATCCAACATTACTACCTATGTGAGGCTTCGTTTTCAGGTCTTATGTGTTGCAATGTACCAGGTCTGAAACTCTGTTTGGTACGAATATTACTTTTTTCCACTAAAAAGTAATAAAATAAAAAATACGATATAGATCAGGTTAAGACTTGTGGACTTCAACTCCCAGAATTCCCCAGCCAGCCATTGTGGGAGTTGAAGTCCACAAGTCTTAAAATTGCCAAGGATACCTCTGATATAAATGAAACTCACATCTGTGGTTCAGATATTAATAGCTCTTCCCAAGATTCACAGAATCACAACTTTCTATATTCTTTACTGGCTTCTAATAAGTGAACTGTGAAAGTAGTAATAGCTATGACAAACAAATAATTAAGCCAGGAGAACTTTATGACCAATCAAGCAGACTAGAATAACTTCTATAATAAATAGGATCAGCCAGCAAGGAAACCATTCCTAGTCAAGAAAAACATGGATGCACACTCCCCCATCCTCAGATAATTTCACCTAAACCAGAGGTGTCAAACTGGCAGCCAGAAGGCCGGATGTGTCATGCACAGGCCCCACCCAACCCGGCTCCGCAAAGGCAAAAAAAGTCATGATACATCATGATATGTCATGTGACGCAATCGAGTTTGACACCTATGACCTAAACCAAGGTTTTTATTATATTCTCAGCAACTCAGCTAGGCATACATGCATATCTCCTTGCAGTTTAGAATGCCTGAAATTAATTGGGATTACTCCGAAATTTCTGTTTTCATGGTCTCACAGACATTATGTGAGCCCCTCTTAAAACCACAGCAGTATCTTCAGCGCCATCATTGCATTTTAACCTCTCCTGAGAGTCTTGATCAGAATCTTGACTGTTTCAGTCTGCTGCCCAAACACTCCCTACGGTCGGAAAGTTTTAAAACCCCAGCTGTTTCTGCTTATGTTTCTGTATCTTTAAAGCAGATGTTGGTTTTAGAATATACATAGGACTGTTTTCTGTAAATTAGGCATTTGGGTAACCTAAAATAAGAACCCACATCAGAGGTTTCATCAAGGAGCATAAAAATTACATCTGCCACATATCTAATATTTATCCATGGTTATTACAGCTGAAAACCTTGGATTTTATGACAGAAGCAACTCCATATCTTGGTGGCTCCACATCTTAAATAATTTAGGATTGATGTAACTTAGGCCAGTGAGGACTAAGAACCATGGTGGTGCAGTGATTAGAATGCAGTATTGCAGGATAACTCTGCCCACTGCCAGGAGTTCGATCCTGACTAGCTGAAGGTTGAGTCAGCCATCCATCCTTCTGAGGTTGGGAAAATGTTAGCAGCTTGAATCAATGTTAACCTACACCCGGAGCCTGGAGAATAATTTCCCACCTGAAGCCACTATAACAAAGTCCCTAAAGTCAACATGGTAACAGGCGTAAGAAATGTTCCTTGGCTAGCAAAAAAGATTAATCAGTAATTGATTAATCAATTAAAACAAGGGATCCTCCACACATGTTAAGCATAAAATGCCCTGCCATGACTTCCAATAGGTTGGAGTCAAGCAATTACACACATTAGATATGATTTTCTTTCCTGTAAGGATTATTTAAATGATAAAGCCCTGCGCTGTTTTTTTTTTTTATCCTGTGCTGGTGCTCCATCGACACATTTGCATCGAAGTGTCAAAGCAGCATCATAGAGACAGGCTTTGGTGAGGTAGAGGCTTCTGAAGATGTAAGGCTTTTGAAAAGAATATTTGTTCTTAAAATATCAGTGGATCAGCTGAGCACTGAGGAGGAGATAGTTCTTACTCAAAGCAGCATCAGCAGCCCTGAGCTTAGAGAGGCATTCTTGTAACTTCCCAAGTAAACTCATTACCAGCTGCTTCCAACATAACTTACTTTCTGATCCATTTAAAAATGAGTTTTCTTCCTTTGAATGCCCTCCAAAATAGATTTTGAACCTCCATAGAGTTCCACTTAGGAAATTTCAAAACTGAGTTTAGAATTCTGAGAGATGCTTTGCTCAAGATGTGCAGTTCAGCAGGTATCCATCTTTTTTTCAGTTTGTATGTAAGTATGGGCATATTTCAGACCAAGGGAGGGTTTTCTTCCTAGATTAAAAAACAAAACAAAACAGCACTTGCGCTATATTTTTAGTACTGGCTTCCTGTTGTTTTTCATCCATTCTACATTTCTATCAAAGTAGGAGAGCACAGGACAGGTAAAATCTCTTCTGGGAACTATCCAACACTTAATATTTAAAAAATTTAATGGAAGAAAACATGCAATATAAGTATCAAGGAAAACCTTATTAAGAAAGGTTTAACTGGAAGTTATGTTAAAAACTAAGCAACGCTTGCTGAAATTATGGTAGTGAAAAAAGGAGGGTCAAAATAATGGGGGCAGTACAGTATGTTCTCCAAGTTATTGCCACAAGTAGAAGAAGAATTAATAATTGGGGATAATCTCAGCTTCATGGACTTGAAAAGTAATGAGGGAACCAGACTTTCAGGCCCTGCTGAGGGCCATTTTACTCCCAAGAGTTGTTTGAGATATGTTGCTATATCTCTTCTTCAAATCTGCTGGATATATTCATAGGATATCCTACCTTATCTGAGTTTATTTTTCTTTCTCAGAGCTTCAGTTACCCAGAATTGCTCAGCCTCAGCAAGTTCCTAGTCAAGCTCCTTCTGCAGACATGCTACAAAGTTGGCTGATGACACCCCAGTTAAACAGCATCCTAGCCCAAAGGAAGCATGAGGTAATAACCCTATTACCACATTGGGTTGATACAGCATGAAATAAGGATAGAGAAAGTTTTCTGATCTTGGAATAAACAATTTGACTCTTCTGTGCTCAGAACAAAATACTCTGCTTGCTGTAAGTTTGTTCAGAGTGCAAAACAAAATAGAGCGTGTTGAGTCCTTGGCGAAAAGCAGACACGAGGAACAGTTGTAGTTCTCAGTTTTCTTTATTCTGTGTTCAGCTCACAAGTAGATGGCTTCAGCAGCTCCCAAAACCTCCCAGCTTCTTATATAGGCATTTCCCGGGTCAATGCGATACTTTTCCCGCGCCAGCACCCGCGCATGCGCACGGCGCTGGCGACAGCCTGTCTGGTCCCGGGCAGCTTTGCACCTGCCCGGGACCGCCTGCAAACGCCCCGAGCCGTTTGCAAGGCTCGGGACATAAACCCCTTTCCCCCGGGCTAAAACTACTACCAACATATAATCATTATTTTATGCAGTGTTCTGCTTCTCAGTGCTCCTATCGTTACCTGGCTTTTGTTTAGCCAGCAATGTTATGTAATCCTCTAAGTATTTAGGAGACTTCCTTGCTCTCTGTGACCTTCTCAGCTCTGGGTTTCTGACAGGTGTTCCCTGACTGAGGGGTGACAAGAGCCTGTTCCCCTTATCATGCCTTGGTGCCTTCCAAGGACTTTGCCCCAATGCCTGGCCTGCTTGCTTGCCCACCGGGCTCGTCAGGTCAGGGCTCCTGTCACTTTGTGACCTGGTTGACCCGCCTAGCTGTAGGCCCTCGGGCCCCTTGAAGTGATAGCTACTGCTGGGCGTCTCTATAGAACCTCCTAGGTCCGTCCAAGACCTGTCAGGAGGCTGTCCAATCCCTAAGCCCCGTTCTGTGTCCGGGCTCGTGTGGGTCTCTGTACCTTCCCAAAACTCAGTTACTCCCTGATTTGGGCTAGAGGTGTTGCGGTCGGGACTTGGGTTCCTCGACCACCTCCCTGTAAGTTTGACCCCCTGTAGGATTAGGGGTAAGGTCAGGCCAACTCTGGGGATTGTGTGCCAGCTCTCTTGCGGGGAATGATTTGTTGGGATGCTCCCGGGTATCCTCCGTGACTGGAGTGCTGTGTGATGTGTGTGGAAAATGAGTATGCCCCCGGGGTGACTCCCTGGCTGGAGTAGGCGTGAGTGCCTGTTGTGTGGGTAAGCTCCATGAATTCCTTTTCGGAGCACTTGCGGAAGCTTGAAATGGGCCATCAGTGGCTCCATCAGTGGAGATGGGCAGCAGCTCGTGCCCTTCCCTTTGCTCCAAAGGGTCCCCCTCCCCCCCCTGGAAAAGACCCAGGAGTCTCAGCTGGAAGATGCCGCCTAGGGCGGAGTTGGTCGATGTGCCTGCGCAGGACACGACCGTTGTCCAGGGCTACCTCGTAGGCTAGAGGACCCGTGACCCTGGAAACAGAAGCGGGGACCCATGTATGACCAGGCCCGTAATTGCGAGTCCAGACCGGGGCACCCTCAAGTAGTTGTCTAGGTGCCCTAGGATGTGAGGTAGATGAGGCAATCTGTCCGGATGCAACCGGTCAAGTTTAGTAGTAAGTTGACGCCCCAACGAAGTTCAGCTGGGCTTCTCCCTGTAGAAGTGGACGGTGTGGTGCGATAAGAAAGGAGAAAGTCAGCCAACCTGTGATGCCAGTCCCCGTAGGTGAGTCTTTTCAAGGCGTCCTTTGTGATGCGCACCATGCGTTCAGCCATACCGTTGGTGGACGGGTGGAAAGGCGCAGACGTGGCATGACGAATCATGTTAGCCTGTAAGAAAGCTTGGAATTCGGAGGAAGTGAATTGAGGGCCGTTGTCGGACACAATGACATCTGGCAGCCCGTGTGCAGCAAAAATCCCCCTCAGTACCTGAATAGTCTTTGCAGTGGTGGTGGATGAGACAGGTACAACCTCAAGCCATTTTGAATGGCTGTCAACAAGGACCAAGAAGAACTGGCCCTGAAAGGGCCCAGCGTAGTCAATGTGCACCCTAGACCATGGGGACTGTGTTTCCTCCCATCTATGCACGGGAGCTTGGGGCATCTCTGGGCGAGATCGTTGGCACAGGTGGCATGCATGCACCTTAGCCTCAATATCTTTATCTAAACCAGGCCACCACAAGTGGCTGCGCGCAAGAGCCTTCATACGAACAATGCCAGGATGACCCTCGTGGAGGGATTCTAAGACCCTAGTCCTCCTTGAGGTGGGAATGACAACTCTGTTTCCCCAAAGCGGACAACCCTGAGAAAGGGACAGCTCATTCCTTTTGGACCAGAAACTCTGAAACTCAGGACTAGGGCAGTGCTCAGGCCAACCAGACAAAACCCAGGAACGGACACGTGAAAGTGTGTGATCTGTACCTGTTTCAGCGGCAACATCCCTGGCACTAAGAGGAAGCTCAGGCAAGGCTTGGATTGATAGAATGTTGACAGCTGGCACGGGGTCAGCTTCTACTACTGGCAGAGGCAATCTACTGAGGCCATCAGCATGGCCCATTTCTTTCCCAGGCTTGTGGAGTAAAGAAAAATCATATGCAGACAAAAAAATAGACCACCTAAGCATTCTAGGGAAAATGATTTGGGGAGTCTGCTTACGTGTGGTAAACAGTCCCAGCAGAGGCTTATGGTCAGTGAAGACCGTGAAATGCCTGCCATATAGAAAATCATGGAATTTTTTAATTCCAGCAAAAACAGCCAGAGCCTCCCTGTCTATCTGAGCGTAGTTGCGCTCAGCAGAAGACAATGTTCTGGAGTAATATGCAACATGAACCTGAGTTCCATCAGACCTGAGGTGACTCAGGACAGCTCCTACCCCGTAAGGGGACGCATCACAAGCGATGCACACAGGAAGGGACTCGTTGAAATGTGCTAGTACACTGTTAGAAGTGAGCAAGGCCTTGACTTTGTTAAAACAAGCCTCATGCGTTTGTGACCACTGCCACACTGCTTGCTTGTCTAGTAGCCTGTGAAGAGGCTCAGCCACACTGGCTTTATGTGGAAGGAAGGAATTGTAGAAATTCAGGAGGCCCAGGAAGGCCTGAAGTTCAGCCTTAGACTTTGGCCTAGGTGCTTCTAAAATAGCAGTTAGTTTGGATTCAGCAGGGTGAATTCCAGCAGCGTCAATTTTGAACCCCAGAAATTCAGTAGAAGGCACCCCAATCTTGCATTTGTCTTTTTTGAGCTTGAGGCCTGACTTCCTGAATCTTAACAGAACAGCCCTTAGCCTTTCAGCTAGAATGTGTGTGGAGTCTCCTGCAATTAAGACATCATCACAGTAGGGGCAAACCCCTGGTATACCCCGTAGTGTGTTTTCCATTACGCTTTGGAAAATCCCAGGAGCGACATTTACTCCAAATTGTAGCCTCTTTACCTTGAAGGCCCCTCTGTGGGTCACAATAGTCTGAGCTATAGCAGCAGCATCATCAACAGGCAGCTGTTGATATGCCTGAGCTAGGTCAAGCTTTGCAAAAACACGCCCCCCCTTGAGGGAGGCCAGGCTATGACTGACCACGGGAACAGGATAGGCATGTTGCTGCACTGCCTTATTCAGAGTGCATTTGTAATCAGCACAGATGCGAATGTCCCCATTTGCCTTGAGAGGCATGACAATGGGGGTCTCCCAGGGACTGGAGTCAACAGGTTCTAGAATTCCTTGTTGGATCAGTTTATCCAGCTCAGTGTCAATTTTACTCTTTAAAGCAAAAGGGACCCTTCTTGCTTTAATTCTAATGGGAGTGACAGTGGGGTCTAGCTTTAGCGACACAGGGGGTCCTTTGAATGTGCCCAGCTGGGGGCTGAAAACATCTGCAAATTCTTTGCAGACTTACTGTAGTTCGAGTGTTTGTAAGCTATTGAGTCCTGTGACGTGTATCCCCAGGGCCTCAAACCAATCGAGTCCTATGAGACTCGTTCGTTCACCCCTACTACTAATAAGTCTAGTGGACCTTCAAAATTCTTGTATTGCACGTTAAGGGTGGCCTCCCCCTTAACACACACTCTTGAATTTTGAAAATCTGTTAACACAATGTCAGAAGGCCTTAAATTGGCCTGAGTTCCACTACCGGAACAAATCTTCCTAAATGTATGCAAGGAGATGATTGAAAGGGCAGACCCTGTGTCTAGTTCCATAGTTAATGGAACCCCTTGTAGCTTCACCTTGAGTGACAGCTTTTTCTTAATGGGCTTGTGTGTGCCTGTCCTGAGGATGCTTCTTCGCGAAGCGCAAAACCCCACCCTATTCTGGCTGGGGACCCTGGTACCTTTCAGGCGCAGTTCTTCCTGAGGTTGTACCTTTCGTCGGCCCAGACACACAGCTGCAATGTGTCCTTGTTTGCCGCATGCCCGGCAGGTAGCGGAGCGGAACTTGCAGTCGGTTCTCCTGTGGCGACCTCCACAGCCGATGCACTTGAGTGGAGCTGAAGAGCTTCCCTTCTGATTTCCTTCCTTCGTGGGGTGGAGACGGTCGACTTCCTCGTCCGGATCCTCCTCGGAGTTTCCTTGGACGTCTTCCTGGTGCACGGATGCAACTTCTGGACTGTTTCTGATCGGCCGCATGTTCTTGACGGTGCCGCCTGCTGCTTCTTCTGCAGTGACTTCTCTTAAGGCATCTTGGAAGGACAGTTCTTTTTTGGCGAAAAGCCTCGGTTGTAGATCTCGATGCCTTAAGCCGCACACGAATCGGTCCCTCAGTCGTTCTTCGAGGTCCTTGAACTCGCAGTGCTTGGCGGCCTTCCTCAATGCGGCGATGTATTCTTTGGCCGACTCTCTGGATCGTTGATCCCTCTGCTCGAAGGTGTGGCGCCATGCGATGACGGACATCTTAGGCTGGAAGTGCTCCTTCAGTAGCTTCTTTAGATCTGCGTAGCTAACAGACTCTACTGGAACAGGTGCTGCAAGGTTTTCTGCGATTTCGAAGGCGTCTTGACCGCAAACACAAAGCAGGGTGGCAGCCTTCAAGCTCTCTTCCCTCACTTGGTTTGCCTTGAAGTAGTTCTCCACCCTGGCTACGTAGGACTCCCACCGCTCTGGATGTGAGACGTCGAACTCCGAAAGCCTTCCAACCTTTGCCATCTTCAGGAGACGGGTCTATCAGCCAGCCTACCCCCGAATGCGCACTGGATTGGCGAGTAGCTGCCGAGTCAATGCCGTTCCGCCGCTCAGGACTCACTTGAGTAAGCTTACACTTCTTCCTTTCCAGGTGATGTAAGGCATCCCATCCTCGTCGCCAGTGTTGAATCCTTGGCGAAAAGCAGACACGAGAAGCAGTTGTAGTTCTCAGTTTTCTTTATTCTGTGTTCAGCTCACAAGTAGATGGCTTCAGCAGCTCCCAAAACCTCCCAGCTTCTTATATAGGCATTTCCCGGGTCAATGCGATACTTTTCCCGCGCCAGCACCCGCGCATGCGCACGGCGCTGGCGACAGCCTGTCTGGTCCCGGGCAGCTTTGCACCTGCCCGGGACCGCCTGCAAATGCCCTGAGCCGTTTGCAAGGCTCGGGACATAACAGAGCGATTTTGATTATTTCAGCACAATTACACAGTTTTTCTTTTTGAATTCCTCCAGCCAGCCCTGGAGACCTAGAAAATGCATTAGCCATTTAAATCACAGGCAGAAATGCCATTTTTATTGCCACTAATATAGAAAGTAAAGAAAATGACCTTAATGAAAATACGCAGGAACCATTACCTAGGAAAAGGGGAGGGGACTAAAGTTTTTTTTCCAGTCCCAAAAAAATGAGATAATTTTGGAAGGGGGTCAGGTAGATGCTTCCCTAATTCATTGAAATATAAGAAGGGGTAAAAGCTACAATTAGACTCACAAGATTCTGTTATTATGACCAATCTCCACCAAAAGAGTTTTAGTTTTCCTGTAGAGTTCATTTCCTGATCTGGAAAGGGAGGGGCTGAAAGGCAGAGAAGGGTGAGGAAGCATCAGAATTCAAGTTGAGTTATTCCAGAAAGATACTACAATCTGATGATATCAGAAGCTGCCAAGAGGTAGAGAAGGTCCAAGATGATGGATTACCCCTTCCCAAGCCCAGCACAGATCTAAGCAAGACCCAGGAAGCATTTCATCTCCGGGAAGAGTATAATCTAGTTATTTATTGTTAAAACAATATTTAAAACAATAAAAACAGTTATATACAAAGTTAAAAACAGCTTAGCTTTCGCTGGTCCTCTGCCAGCATCCTCAGAGTGAGGCTCAGGGGGTGGGGAAGTTCTTTTTATCCCCTTGCCGATCTAACTGCTTGCTCATTGCTCGCATGACAGGGCCACTCTTCCTGATTGCCTGTAACTGCCTTAGTTGCCCCGCCCTCTCTTTATTGCACTCCAATTTTGCATTTTTCTGCTCTGTCATCCTTGTCCAGCCTCCTCCTCCCTGTACTGTTGTTACTGATATACTCTCCAATCGCTCTTTCCTACTCATTGCGGGGTACCCCTTCCGATCCGGTATTACAAGAGTCCTGCCATAGGGTTTTCCCTTTTTATTCTCCTTGTTGATCTGCTGGTCTGCCTGCCGTTTTTGCGTTCCATTATCATTCCTATCCCATCTCCCTCCTCTGGTTTTTCTCCTCTCCTGACCTGCCGTTCTATATACCATTTCTGCCTTCTGTCATCCATTCTTATCAATCCTCCCTTCAAATTGGAGAAGGGAAAGTGTACCCAGATACCCCCAAAGTAGGCAAAGAGAGCAGCAATAAGAGAGGCAGTGATCCCTGAACTTACAAATATACAAATATACAGACGGATGCAAGACTATTAGAAGTAATACGGTCAGCTGGGGTGGGCAGACCAGTGATGCGTTCTATGAGCAGAGCACATAAACTGCCAGTCTTATGAGCAGGCTTTCAAACCTCCAGCATTCCACTCTGATGACGTTGGCAGTTAGCTGATGAAAGCTAAGTTTATCAAACAGTTATTAGTTTATTAAACAGTTGTTTTTTTTATTTATCCCAGTGTTCGACTACTTCTCTCAACATATATATATATATATATATATATATATATATATATATATATATATATATATATTCGCCATCCAGAGTTCCAATAAGTTGGGTGATCATATAAGTTGTTCAAATAAATAAATATCATGCTCAGCAAAAAAACTTTATTGCATATTATATCACATGGAGCTAAACATCCATTTTTATTATTTTCCCTAAACTCAGGCCAAATCCAACTGTAAGTTAAAATTCACATCAGAATTAAGGGACTCTGATGCCAACATTGATTATTAAAAAGATTCAAATGAGGAAGGTTTTTTTATTAACTGTTTGATCCAAAGATTGCATATATGGGGCCAAACGATAATAAGTTAAATATTGGAATCCCAGGTGTGGACATTTAAAGTCAGCAAAATGAAATGATAAGCTCCAGGATATAAGAAAAAAGCCTTCTTTATTGCTCAGCTTTCATCAACAAGCTGTTAACATCATCAGAGCAAAGGGCTAAATGACAAGGGAGCATGTGCATATACTTATATAACAATTAAAATGGTTACAGTATGGCAAGTACATATAGTGTGCTCATATATATAATGATACTTAAATAGGACTTAATAGCTTTAAGCCAGTTATACTGCATGAGTGGAATGCAAGAATATAAATCTTGACTACACCACAAAGGGGACTTGCTTTGAAGAAGAAGAATGGCTGGAATTCTTTCGTAATGGCTTCATTAACTTTTCTACAAAATCTAGTGATCAGACATGCTTATGTCCCTGAATACCTGTTGTACCCTTTTTCAAGTCCAAAACAACTCCCTGTCCTTGCTATATCTAGGATTTGAGCCTTGCTTGGCATTTGTCAAGAGTCTCTCAATGGGGCAGAGTATCTCCCTGGTGGTGTGGTCACTGTGGTTCTCCTCATCAGACACTGGATCATACAGTTACTAGCTGCCATTTGAGAGCTTATACGGGAGGAAAAGCAGAGTTTCTCCAAGCAACAAATACTGCACTTAATAGGATAAATGGCCTAAATATTGATAGGTGAACACTTATTCTTTTCTCACGAACCAACGTATTTCAAAATGTAACCTATAACTTATGTATAACTTCTTGAATTCCTCATACCTTACAACATTGACTAGATGCTTCCATCATACGCATATCATAGTGTTATGTGCTCCATTTATTTATTTTTACTATTGCTTTCCATGTACTCTATGCCATATGCTCAGTAAATAAATAAGAGATCCTATCTAAGTATACAATGTGGGAATCCAAAGAACAGGTCTACACATGGATTTAAGTGAGACTCTTCTGAGAAGGTAGAACGGATAATATCCATCTTTATGTACAAAAGCACTTGAAAGTGGCATTTGATCCACTGTAATTGTAATATGGGACTATCCACCAGAATCCACCTAAGATGTCTGCTATCTGAAGTAAGAGACAAAATACTCCTTGCATTTACTGGATGGGCAATTGAACTTTCTTTCCTTCTTTACCCTACCGGAATTCCGAAGGCTAGTTTGGGTTTTATCACATCTTGCTCTCTTTGTCCCCATCCCTCAGCATCTGCTGCCTAAGGTAGCCAGGTACATTTTAACAGGACTACTTGACTGTCCTTCAGACTACCTTATAATTTGGTCACCCTCCTCCTGCTTCATTTATAATGTAGGTGTCCTTCAGTTACTGGCACTTGGAAGCTACTTGCTAAACAGAATACAACTTTTATCACCTTTCCATATGTGTTTAATTTCCACACACAGAGTATTTTCAAACACGATCTGGAAGAAGGGTTCCTGAAACGAATAGCAAGACGAAAAGTCCGCCGGCATGTCTTTGGAGAAATTAACACCAAGAAAGTTTATCAGTTTGGAACAGCTTGTACACCTTTTCATGCACTGACTACAACTGTGAGTAAAACATGGGCAGGCAACCTAATGCTCGTAGCATCTATGCAACAGGTTTTTTAATTCAATTTTCCTTTGTATGCCCTTCTGTTTGAGCTTACATATTAATGTAATTAAAGTACATGCGTGGTCATTTAATAACCAAGAACTGATGCATTTCCACCTTTACATTATGCTTATGATAAAATATGAACCAGAGTTATTTAGGATGTTACACCAAATCAAACCCACACTAAACAAAGTGTTTGTTAAGAAATAGCTAACTGGCTAGAAGCTCACTAGTTTCCAGGATACCAGAATTACGTTGTAGTTCAAGGCCTTCATCAGATATAGTTGTGAAAACAAGATAATATTGTATCTGCAAACTCACACTAAATTACAGTTCCGGTTCCATAAAACTGGAAAATTCCACCCTAACAATACACAGAAGAGACTGTTCTTTGCACACATTTGCACTAATGAATCAACTGCTGAATGTTTGAGTTCACTCCCAATAGATGTGAAATTACATTTGCTTGTAATGATTCCTCTCCTCTGCCTTTCTCATGCACACAATCTTATTGTAAATTTAAGATCTGAGTAGACTTCTTGGGAGCACAAGTGCAATGCATGTACTTGTTTTATTTTGTTGTAAAGAACGGCCTTCGAGAAAACTCAGCAGCTGTGGGGTAATGAAAAGAGGAAGGAAGGGAACATTTAACTGGGTTTTTTTTTCTTTGCCTATTGGGGTTTTAATATAAATCACTTCCCAAGAGCTAGTGTATGCATTTTAAAAGAAAAATAAGCTTCTTGGCTTGTTTACATAATAAAAAACACAATATGGCATTCCAGTTAATTATATTCATGCAATTACAGGTAGCCCTGTATGGCCACAACTGAACCCAACATTTCTATTGCTAAGCAAGAGAATTGTTAAGTGAGTTTTGCCCCATTTTACGACCATTCTTGCCACTGTTGTTAAGTGAATCACTGCACTTGTTAAATTAGTAACACAATTGTTAGGTGAACCTGGCTTCTGCATTGACTCTGCTTGTCAGAATGTCACAAAAGGTGATCAAATGACCCTGGGAGACTATAATCATCATTGCCAAGCATCCCAATTTTGATCACAGGATCACAACCTCAAAATGGCCTCTGGATAAGTGCCAAGAAATCAAAGATCACATATGTGAGCTGTGCCACACAGATATGGGAAATCACACTCGTATCACAGCGACTTGAGGACGGAAAAAGGTTTGCTTATTTGGGTAGTGTAATCACCCAAAATGGAGATGCAGAGATGAACGCCAAGTGCCGCATTGGAATGTCAACACCTGCTTTCTATAGTATAAATAAAATCTAGTCTTATCGTCATTGAAACTTAAATTCCATTTTCTCCCCCCTATATAGTGATCCCAACAGCCATTTATGCCAGTGAGATGAGGAAGGCATCAGCGAGTATTAACAAGAGACTTGACGTCTTCCAAGAAAGTTCCCTTTACTGGATCCTAAAGAGTTGCTATTTTAACCATATTATAATAATAATAGTAATAGTAATAATAATAGAGTTGGAAGGGACCTTAGAGGTCATCTAGTCCAACAAATGGCTGTCCAGTTTCTTCTTAAAAACTTCCAGTGTTGGAGCATTCACCGCTTCTAGAGGCAGGTTGTTCCACTGATTAATTGTTCTAACTGTCAGGAAATTTCTCCTTAGTACTAGGTTGCTTCTTTCCTTGATTAGTTTCCATCCATTGCTTCTTGTCCTGCCTTCAGGTGCTTTAGAGAATAGCTTGACTCCCTCTTCTTTGTGGCAGCCCCTGAGATATTGGAACACTGCTATCATGTCCCCCCTCGTCCTTCTCTTCATTAAACTAGACATACTCAATTCCAGCAACCATTCCTTATATGTTTTAGCCTCCAGTCCCCTAATCATCTTTGTTGTTCTTCTCTGTACTCTTTCTAGAGTCTCAACATCTTTTTTACATCGTGGTGACCAAAACTGGATGCAGTATTCCAAGTGTGGCCTTACCAAGGCATTGTAAATCACGTGATCTTGATTATATCCCTCTGTTAATGCAGCCTAGCACTGTGTTGGCTTTTTTGGCAGCTGCAGCATGCTGCTGGCTCATATTTAAGTGATTGTCCAGTAGGACCCCAAGACCCCTCTCACAGTTACTACTATTGAGCAAGGTACCACCTATACTATACCTGTGCATTTGGGGTTTTTTGCCTAAATGTAGAACCTTCCTTTTTTTACCATTGAATTTCATTTTGTTAGATAGTGCCCAATTTTCAAGTCTGTCAAGATCCTTCTGTATCTTAAGCCTATGTTCTGGAGTGTTGGTTATTCCTGCCAGTTTGATGTCGTCTGCAAATTCGATGAGTTCCCCATCTATCCCCTCATCCAATTCATTGATGAAGATGTTGAAGAGCACTGGGCCCAGAACAGAGCCCTGGGGCACCCCACTACACACTTCCCTCCATGTAGATGCAGTTCCATTGAGAACCACATGCTGAGTACGGCCGGTCAGCCAGCTACGAATCCATCTGGTGGTGATGCTGTCTAACTCACATTTTTCTATCTTATCAAGTAGTAGGTTGAGGTCTACTTTATCAAATGCCTTACTAAAGTCCAAGTAAATTATATTCACAGCATTCCTCTGATCCACTAATTTTGTCACCTAGTCAAAGAATTCAATAAGATTTGTCTGGCATGATCTGTTTTTGATAAACCCATGTTGGCTTTTGGTAATGACTTTGTTTGCCTCTACGTGAAGAAGTGCTCCAAATGAGTTTCTCCTGCAAATTACATAACCTTGTCACATGCTGAAGACTCCAACTTGCAGGTCACATTCTCCATTTGGAGAACAATCAAATCCCCAAGCTGACAATGAGATGGAAACACGCCCCTCCAATCTCAAACAACCAAGAGGGCACCCTCGAAATACACAGAGAAGAATGTTTTAAATATCACATGGGAAGATAGTGAAATACTTATTCAAAACTCAAAATACTGGAGATCTCTTGCTGCCCAAATGCTACATAGCATGGGAGGATCTAATGCTAAAAAAAATGACCACAGTGAAGCTGTGATGGTCATATGTGTAAAAAACAATCATAAGTTACTTTTTTCAGTGCCATTGTAACGTCAAATGGTCACTAAAGGAATGGTTGTAAGTAAAGGACTACCTGTAATTTAATCTCTAATTGGGAGGTGGCAGATTTTAAGCATTTTTTTCAAGAAAAATTATAATACTACTAGATTCTTAACATGGTGTCTTTTATGGATGATCTAGGTGATCCTTTCTATATTTATTCTAGGAAATGGAAACTCTAACCTTCCCCAGCAATCTGCCCATGACACCACGGATGATGAACAGGGGCATAGTTTGCACCAATGAGTCAGAGCTGAAAACGATTCAGCTGACTTTCCCAGAACTGGATGAAGAATCTGCAAAAAAGTCTTACCCCGGTGATAGAAAGAAACCATTTGGTCCAACCAAAAAGTCCACCTTGCCTCTGTTAGTTAAGATGTCAAGATCCCGGTTCTCTGAAAATAAGAAGATCTCCGGTTGCCATCTTCCGAGGGTCCCCACTGTCCCTGCATCAATATCGCTCAAGTGGGGAAAATTCTAAAAATTGTTAAAAAGCTCAATTAATTTAACCCAAATAGGTCTGGTTTGGGGATGGTCCAGGAACTTTTAGACATTCTGGAGCTGAGAACTGCACAGATATGTCAGTGATCCAGAGAAGAATGCTGCTGCTCTACATTGAATCTCCAATGCAAAACAATAATTGAAACAACTGCTATGGCCCCTCTGGTGGGCTAAGCAGAAGCCAATTTAATCACTTGCATGTACCATCAGAATAAAGCCAGATGTTTTATTAGGAATGATAAATTCATCTGCTGAATTGACATTTGCAGTATTAGGAAGGAAGCATACAGAACCCAAGAATGCTGGTTATAAAATCAAATATTCATTCTAGCTAATATGTTTATTTTTTATTTATAGACTTGGGAATATTAAAGGAATATTAAATATTTAAAATATTAAATGTGAGAATCACTGAGTGTGATTCCCGAGTGTGTGTCAATAGACCTGCATAGACTTCCCAAGTGGTAAGATATGGGCTTTTAAAGTAGTCTGTAGATTAGTAAGCTAAATTGCAGAGAATAGTATCACTTGGGGCCAATCTTGTAGAATACAAATTTTAGCAGAAATGCTGCATGTTATACAGGTATAACTATGGTTGGTTAGTTGGTATAAAACGTTTGCATTTTAAATCTATGATAGCCAATAGAAGAACATCAAAGGAGCCATTGGATGATAATTAATTATATGGAATATTGGAACTTGGAATATATAAGGAATTCTGTGTGGGTGTGTCAAACAAGAGACAAGAGAAGGATATAATATATGTGAATGAAGATGGCCTGGTCGTGATGACTACATGCAATATTCTCAATATTGAAAGCCATCTTTTTCATCAGAATCTCTTGATATTTTTAAGCATCTTTGTTTTTTGCTTGTTTAATTTAAATCCATCTAATGCTCCAAAATGTTTCAATTTGTTTATTAAATGTTCTATACCATTCTGAGGGACTGGTTTGAACAAAACTCAGCACTTTTTCGTGCGTCTGCTGATAAAAACAGGATCGCCAACATAATTGCCAACGTCCGATAACGGATATGGCACAAGAAGAAGAAAAATACCATTCTGAGGTTCTTGGCAAAATGAGAATTAGGTCGTAGGCAAAACCTCTCAATTTATAAGTCTCTTTTCAAATTTTCAATCTTGTTATCTTCTCATCCTGTTTAATGCCTCCAGACAAAATTTCTAAGACTAAAATAAAAAGTAGAGGTGAGATAGGGCATCCTTGCCTTGTTCCCTTCTGAATTTGACATGTTTTGGTTAACTCACAATTGACAATAATATGTGCCTTTTGTGGTGTATATATTGATTTATCCCTTGAATAAAATTCTCCCCAAATCTTTATTCTCCCAAACTTTCAACATAAAAGTCCAATTCAAGTTATCAAAAACCTTCTCTGCATCAAGAAAAATCAATGCTGCCTTCATCTTATTATATTGTTGCAATATTCTACTACATCCAGAACAGTTCTCATCTTGTCTCTTGACTGTCTTTTAGATAAAAATCTACACTGATCTTCCTGAATAAAAGTCCTCTTTACCCTGTCAGCCAGTATTCTTATAAATATTTTATAATCATTGTTGTTTGTTTTGTTTTTTATTAAATGTATATGCCGCCCATCTTATTATCGAGCAACTCTGGGCGGCTTATTCAGCAATGAAATTGGTCTATAATTTTTAGTTAAAGTCAAGTCCTGTCCCTCTTTGGGGAGTAAAGCAGTGTTCACTTCTTTCCATGATACTGGCATAAGAGATCCTTGTAATACAGAGTTCATACATATTTAAGTGGTTGTGGAAGATGATCTTCAAAATACTTATAAATTTGGTACTCCATCAGGGCCTGGTCCCCACCCTATTTTGATCTCTCTGATTTTTCAAAAGTTATTACTGCACTATTCATATTTTGTTTCTGAACTCGAAAGAGTTTGGGTAAATTATGTTTTTTTCAAATATTCATTAATCTTTTTCAGGCAAACTTCATGTTTTTATACAAATTTGAATAAAAATCATAAAAAGATTTCTGAAAAATCACATTGTTAATATAGTCTTCTTGAATCTTTAATATTATTTTCCTTTCTCTCTCCTTTCTCAATTTACAAATCAACTATATGCCAGTTTTTCTGTTTTACATTGTGTAACTTAGTCTCTAGTTCTATCACAATTAACATCAATGTTTGCTGATGTAAGAATTTAATTTGATGTAAAATAGTAGACTCTGCTGCTTTCTGGAAATCCTTTTCTTTCCTCTTAATTTCATCTAGTATAATTTATATTTTTTTCTGGGATTTTCTGTTTAATTCCCAATTATAGGCAATAAAATAGCTTCACATTACAACTTCACTGGTATCCCTATTTCCTTTATCCAAATTCATATCAAAAATTCATCTAGCTTCTTTTTACAAGTTTCCACATGTTGAAAAAAAATCCTTTTTATATCATTTGGCACATAAAGTCCAACAGTTGTTGATGTGATGCCTTGCATCTCTACTTCTACTACTTCGTATCTGTTTTGTTCATGTGACAATAAAAGCTGTGTTTACTTATTTATTTATTAAACTTCTATATCACCCATCTAACTGAGGCAATTCTAGGCAGCTTTAAGTTGTGATTTAATGTAGAAAACAATGCCTTTGATGTTTTTTTATACCTGCTCATATAAATTACTTTGCTGAAGACTTATATATCAAATATTTTATATCTTTTGACCTTATATGTGTTTCCTCCAAGCAAATTGCATCTTGATTCGACTTTTTAAAATAATGGATAATCTCTGCTTTTTGAGAAGCAAGTTCCACATTGTAATTTTCTCCTCCCTACTCCATACATTGACAATCTGTTGAAGTCTTTAGCTGTGGCTCCTATTGGTTGCTGCTCATGTACTCCTTTCTCTTTGATATTCATTAGATCTTGTTCTACGTCTAACCCATTTTCTTTTAATAAAATACTTGGCCTTTTAAATAGATTTTAATCTGAATCTTTGTTGCCAATAGTTGAAGATTACACCCTCCAATTTATTCCAATGGAATAAATCAATTCATCAATTGATTTGGAAGCACTTGACCCCTCAGCTGCAGGACAAATTTTAATCTACACTTTCAATGAGTTTATTAATTCTCTACAGTTTGCTTAATAATATCCTCAAACTAAAATACTGTCATTTTTTTCAAAAAAAAAACCACCTGAAGTTTAAGTGATATTAATTAAATTTTATAAAGCAAACTCATTGTAATCTTTATGCCACTGCTTTCTTATATTCTCAAGCAAACGTAGGCAAATATACATGTCCCAGGATAATGTTTCAGAGTCCAATCAGACTCTTGTCACTGGGACCAGAGGTTTAGTCTTCCAAGCTTTTGGAGGATGGGCCCCAGCGTGAGTCCAAAAGTTTGGAAGACTAAGCCTCTGGTCCTGGTGACAGAGCCTGATTGGATCCTGTAGTATTCTCAGGTTTTTATATTATGCAGATAGAAATAATACAGATAGAAATGGTCTGTTTTAAATTTTGTCTTTTAGTTAGACACCGTTTCAAAGATGTTAAAAGATAAGACCCTATGTTACTTAAGCTAACTGTTGATTTGAAACAATGAGTATTTAAATGATGGGAGCTTTCCAGCACGAGTTGTTTTAGAGTTGGCTTGCAAGCATAATGTGATTTAATAAGGTATGCTAGATGCTTGGTAACCATCATGTTATTGATTGTTGTTGTTGATTTCTGTTTCCTTGTCCCAAACTGTATAAAAACAAAAAAAAGGGTTGCTTTTAATGCCTATGGATTATGAGTCAATAAAAGCTCTATTTCTTCATCTTCCTTGGAGATATGAACAGTTTTAAGCTATATCTAGTTTATATTAATTCAAATATCATTGCTTTCAAAGAATCTGGGGACTCTGGTATGATGATCGTGCTAAGAAAGCTCTTGGAACCTTCTACATTGTTCTCAAATACAGATTTACAGGGATTAATTTATATCTGTAAAGTGTGTGTATACTAAAATTCACACTGGAACTAGTCTAAGTCTTTCCTGGTTGCATTATTCAGAGGGCCTGCCTTTCAATTTTCAAAGCTCCTCCCAACTGAACGGATGCAAAAATATCAAAAGAGGAACATTATCATCCATGAGGAATAAATTAGAGAGTGCTACAATGAAATAAACTATCTTCCATATTTTCTAGAACAGACAAGATGTGAACCCTGTAATATTGTGCTATGCTATTATGTTACGCTAATGTTATGCTATTACAAAATTTTACTTTTGTAAGATAAAAATCAAGCTTCCACTTCCTCCTAAGGTGCTTTGCAGTTGAATTGTTTCTCTTAAAACCGGAGGTTTCTTTTTTAAAAAAAAAAAATAGACAAGTGGCTCTATGCCACTGTGATAAGAACACTAGGGAGAGGCAATTCAGACATTAAAAATGGAAAGCTAAGACATGCTGAGCCTTTTGCAAACAAGGACAACTTATAATCTGGGTCCCTGAGACAGTCCTTGGCACTAATGATCAAAGCAACACTAGGATTCAAATCTTTGTAAAAGACAGAAGTTAAATTGAAGTGTCTTGTAAATCAAACTGAATCAACATCTCAAAATTTCCCCAGAGATTGTTGCACTTGATGAAACTACTGCATGCAAAGCTGTGGAAGAAGCCTTAAGCCCCTAAGCAGAAGAACTAATGTAAAAACACATCAAGGAAGATTTGCTTCAAAAGGAGCAATCAATCTGGATCATGCAGTAAAAGCAGTGGGTATGTTTGACCTGTACATGTGTCTTCATCAAGTACATAATCCAGGATTAATTTCTTTTTCCTTATCAGTTTTTTTTTAAAATCCAGAACCATAACTTTTCATTTAAGCTTGTGGCTGCAGAACTCTCACTCCCATCGTTCCCAGCCACCATGGGAAATATATGGGAGTTGAGTTAGGAAAAAGCCTTTTGTGTAGTACTTCCCCCCTCTTCCCCCGCCCCCCCCACTCTGGAATGTGCTTTACCCAAAAAGACATACAACAGCCTTCCTTCTTTCATTCATCAAAGCAGTTAAAATGTTATTCTATAATACTTCTGGACCTAATTGATTGTGCAGATATCATGGCCTTATGTATTGCTTTGTTTTAATTTGCTTTTCTATCTTCTTGCATGTGACCCAGATTTCACAACCAGGGTTGGTCTACAAACATTGTAAATGAAAGTAAGATACTGTATATTTCTACAAACATTGTTTCTTCTATTTGTGAGAGACAATCCAACTACTGGATAACTCCATTTGAATTCCTGAACA